AAACAATCCGCCACTGGTTTTGAAAGCAAACACTATTCAGTGTTCTTATTTTCAAATGTTCTGTAGTCTATCAAAAATGTTGATGGCCTAACGATGAATATTAACTTTGATATGTTAAGGAAACTGATCTATACAAAATTAAATCAATCTACTTAAAAACACAAATTGGCCATCACATAGCCTAGATGTGAAACGTGTCACTTCTAACCACTTGGTGTTTCAGATTTTCACTGCATGTCAATAAACCATGTAAAATTATAGAACAAGGTAAATAAAACATTATTAAATTTAAGCATACCGATAAAAGAAATACTGTAAATGTACAGTAGGTGTGGCGCACAATGAAAAAAAAAAAAAACAACTTATAATATTATTAAGTATTGAAAATACTAAATTTACCACAAATGTAAATGTTATATTATGAATAAAAATAATGGAAATTGCGAATATGAACAAATACTGACAAGCGCTTTACGTCGTGAATGAGATGGGTAGACGTCAAAAATATAAAAAATCGATAATTTAAAAATAATCCTACAACTGATCTGATCGGGAACAGGGTAGCAATAAATCACTTTATTGTTGCTTTTAAGCGAATACGTCGACACCCTTTCAGGCTAGATAGGGACTTTCACAGAAATATTAGCCATGGAGGGTCCACCCACCTCAGCCAACCCCACCACGGTTGGGGTTGAGGAAAAGAAAATTTATGATATGGCACCTAGATAGCCAGAAATGGCACTCGCAGACATAAACGGGAATAAAGATAAGCTTAATTCTAGTGAAACTAGAGAGAAGATGAGTTTTGTACGTGGCGAGTTATTGACACGCAACGGCGGGGACAAACTCTAAAATTACTCAAAAATCTTAAATTCTGAGGCAGTCCTAGTTGGAACCTGCTCTGATTGGTCAGGCGCATTTTTGGTGGATGGATTTCTGGAGCATGTGAGAGTGTGTCTTGAATTTTCTACTTGGAATGTGGACCTTTTGTAATTTTGGGTGGGGTGGGGGTGCGTCCTCCCTTGTCGAACCCCCACCCTCTTGCATACGCGGACCCTTTCCAAACACAGGTTGCCCTGTCGCGTGGATGGATTCCGATAGGAGTTACTTCAATATTCAGTGAAAAACAATTAGGCCTAAATTAAATTGGGACCCAGATAATTATATTATCTGGACTGTCCCAATTCCAGGCCTGTCTGACGGGTGGGCATATTCACCTGCCCCTCCCCCTCCCGCTGGCACCAACACTGCAATTAACTATTTCAAATGCTGTACTGTAAATCTGGCCTATTTAGAGATTATTTTTTTGTTGGGACTTTCCCTACGGGAAATGTTTGTAAACAATGAATATTGGGTCAAAGGTTATCGATGCACACCAGGCAACTCTACGAGAAATTGACTCCGTCATCAGAAAACGGAATTGCACGTGTGTGGTGAAATGTAAGTAAATGGGAAGAAGCCTATCAAAGGTCGGCAACTGCGGTTTAAATTCGTATAAAACTACAAAATCCGATTAGAATTTTATGTTATTAAATATATTGGTTTACAATAGTAGTAGGCTAAGCAAGAGAAGTATCTTGTGCATGCCCAGTTTCGTAGGCCTCCGTCTAGGCCTAGCCTAGGCCTAGGCCTACATGGCATAGGCCTAGGAGCCTACGCTAGGCCAGTTCAGTAGGGATGGCTCCTTGGTGTGTCGGCTAACTCGTACACATGCCAACTCATACACACCTTTGCAAACTCGTACAGCAATTTAGGCGAACTCGTACACACGATTGGTGATTTCGTACACATGACTTTTTGCGATCTCGTACCCAAATGCATTTTTGATAGGGTCAATATTTCTTCTTAGTTTTGCGATCAGATGAATGAGATCAAACTAGCTGCATCAATAGGGTTGTCAAAGAACAAACTGCCAGTGGAATAGGTTTGGACCGCAGAAAATTTTGTGCGAGTTGTCTGTACGAGTTGGCATGTGTATGAGTTAGCTTACGTATTCATGGCCTGCTAGCTGGGCGCCCTCTCTAGGCCATATACATACCTACCAAAGGTCTAAATAAACACAAGATAGCGTTCTCCGCGATTTACGCGTAACAAAGAGCGTCGATTTGGCACAGTTTTTTAGTTGTGTTTGTACATGTTGTATGCTTATTTTGAGAAAGTAGCACATTAATATATAGGCCTTGCATGAGGGCGTGAGATCAAAGATAAATGCGACTGGACTGCGAGATGCATGAGACTTATAAACAGACCTGTGGGATGCAAAGGTATAGCAATGAGACTCACACTGAGAGCAGCTGGTTACTATTGTAGCTAGAGGTAGCTCGAGGGCTAGGCTACTAATACTACACACGGTCAGTGGTGGCACCAGCGGAGGCAGGGCCATCCCCCCCCCTCGTCCGACACATGCCCACATGCCTAGGTCATCATGCCTAGGTCGTCGGACCTAAAATTTAAATAATGATAGCTATCCAAATGGCTCTAGTCAGCCCTTTTTTTTCGGACTAGTCAGCAAATTTCTGGCACCACTGCTGCATAGGGTGTGTAGAGGCCTAGTAGGACACCGTTATAACTGCGAACAAGTTTGGCCGCAATCTTTCTAACATATTTTTTATTTTATGTTTTCAGCCAATTCGTAGTTGAATACAGTAACTAATAAATATCCTATACTGATAATTATTAAAATATTAAATGCATATCGACTTAAAAGTAACGAAGAGACTGTGTTGGAAAGGTAAACAACATCTTTTTATTAAGTCAATTTTGCCAAGGGAAGCCTCAGCATAACAAGAAACGAGACGAGTGTAATTCCAAGTTCAACATACTTAAAATTCTCACTGGAAAATAACATGAAGCCTATGTATTTGAAAAGTTAGGATAATACCGTAAAACCATGTATTGAAGCCCTGGGCTTTCTGTTTTTTTCTGCGAACTTTAGATGGGCTTTTTTTTCAAAGTGGGCTTTTTTTCAAGATGGAGTGTATTAACCAGCATTTTCACCTAAACTACTGTATAAACCAAGTATGTTTTTAATTTTTTTTCTGTTGCCTTGAAATTCATGTACAGTGTATGTACAGTACTGTGCTGTACTACAGTATCTCAAAATTAAAGGCCAATGCTATCTTGAATAGAAACCCACGGGCTTCTTTTAGAGATGAGTTTCTTTTCAAGGCTACTTTTCCAAACTAAAGAGGGGAGCTTCAATTCGAGATGGGTTTCTTTCTCGAGATTAAGCCCATTAAGCTTTTATTCCAGGCTTTCTGATATCTTACTAATAAGACAAACAAATACATATGAGTTGAAGATTTAGGTGTTTTAATTGATAATAAGTTGAATTTTTGTTTACATGTTAATTTTGTTGTGCCAAAATCAAACAAGATGCTTGGTTTATTATGGAGGAATTGCAGGTTTATGAAAAATGGCAAGACATTAGTATCTCTTTACCGTTCAATTGTGCGCCCCCATTTGGAATATTGTTCTGTTATTTTTAGTTCAGTTTCTTTTACACAAGCTCAGCGTATTTGTAATGTTCAGAATAAGTTTATTAGGTTTCTTAGTCATACTTGTCCCAATTATAATGTCTCTCTTTAATATGTCTCTTAAAAATTGTAGAATTATTTTTGACATGGTATTTTTATATAAGTCTTTAAATTCCATTTATGATTGTCCTCTTTATTTTCGCACAATGTATAAAGTGGGTATTAACTAACTGTAATAATATAACTTTTTCTATTATTCTTTTAGTTTTATGACTAAAATAAATACATTTTAGCAATAGGCCTATAGTTAAGTATAATGGCAGAACATTGAGTCCTGTGTCTTAGTTTGATAACAATAAATTAACTTTGTGAATCTGGATAAATCAAGTTCTTTAACTTTTCTATGTGCACTGTATAAAAGCCCGCCCTCTATCATTTTCATTTTCTACAGTATTACCGCTGTCTCTTATACACATCTAGATGTGTATAAGAGACAGGTATTTATTATTATTAACAAAATCATTAAAACAGTGTTGATAAACAGTTAACAAAAATTACTAAGGAAGTGTCCTGCCCTGACACCCTATTGATAATCTTTTAAAGGCAATTGGACATGATGCACCTTAGTTGCTTTTGTACTATAAGGATTTTTTTTTGTATCTTTGCAGGAGACATTGTAAAGAATCTGAAGCTGTATGTTTCTATTGAAGCATAACTATGCATGGTAAAGAGGCAGGCATGTCTTCAAAGAGTGTTAGATTTGGAGGAAAAGTTGCAGAAATTCTTACACAGTACAAAGAGGTATGCTGTAATTTTCTTATTTTTTTTTTTGATCATTATACACTAGACTATGGCATTCTAAAAAACTTCGAGCAGGCTCCAGAGAATTTTTTTTTGATACAGCTAACTTTTTTGAGACACAAAAAGAATACTGGATGTTTGACAAAAAAGTCTGAAATGGTTAAGATAGAGATTTTTAAATATTTAAAAACTGGGGTGGGCGGGGTGGGGGGAGGGGAAGGTTGGTACCTAAGTAAACCTATGGAATAACAACTCATAATAATGTTTGTGCCTATTGTATCTTTATACATCCAGTTCGACCACCTCCTTGTGTAGGCTTTGCCTTATCCCTGAGATTGTTGATACATGTGAGAGAACACAGCCTTTGTTTATGTCTGATTAATTTTTTTAATTGAGAAAAACCATAAGGCCCCTAATGGTCACATGAGCTGCTGACAGTGTTTAGTAGCTGGAGAATTATTGAAGGCTTGGTTTCAGGGCTGTTTTTAAATTTTGACTCCCAAAGACACATCTGTACTCGAATGCAGCTTAGTTTTCAAGAGCAGCAGTGGCATGCCTTTTTTTTGTATTCTATAATTCCAGTATTTTAATGCCTTTTTACACATTCCAATTTTAGGTATTGATTTCATCAAAAAAAGGCATAGCGCTTCTTACTTTTAACTACAATACTACAATACTAAAATATAAACATATTACAATATTCCACAAATGAGCCAATTAAAATCAATGAATATTTATGGAGAATTATTTTAACAATATGTAGACTGGCGATAGTGATGATAATAAAAATGCTCCTATCACTCGGCAGACTTTGGTTTGTAAAAGCGCCTTGGTTATATTTGTTTGTAAAAAATATTCAAAGTTGCTGGGGGCCTCTTGAGGCTCCGGGGCCTCTGGCTTTAGCCATTGAGAACTCATACCATAGCCTTCCATATTTTATTATAATAATACTTTATTAAAATTAAATTTAATATTATGTTCTATTGAATATGTATAGCATTCTTAGAGTGCTATCTTTGACAGTCGAGTAGATCTTGAGCACTAAGGTCATATAAAGGCTGCCCTCACTTGTAACATTGTATGCTACTCAGAATGACAATGACGGAATGACTTATATGAAACTGATGCTTGGTAATATTTTATTGTAAATTAATTAATACTATTATACTATATGATTTTCCTCTGTAATAAACACACTGCTGGTCAGTGTATCATTTATTTTCGCACAATGTATAAAGTGGGTATTAACTAACTGTAATAATATAACTTTTTCTATTATTCTTTTAGTTTTATGACTAAAATAAATACATTTTAGCAATAGGCCTATAGTTAAGTATAATGGCAGAACATTGAGTCCTGTGTCTTAGTTTGATAACAATAAATTAACTTTGTGAATCTGGATAAATCAAGTTCTTTAACTTTTCTATGTGCACTGTATAAAAGCCCGCCCTCTATCATTTTCATTTTCTACAGTATTACCGGCCTTTAAGTTTATGATAGTGATACACTGAATTAGTGTTGGATTCATTTAACAGAAATTGTTTTTATGCATGTGGTATTTGATATTGCATTGTGCATGCATATTTGCATGTGTTTTACACACGTCAAATAATAGTCAATAGCGAAATTTTGTAAGGGATGCGTATGAAAATTATATCGAGTTAAGGTTAACAATGACTACGCCGTAGTTTATCTAACATTCCAGTGCTAGGCTGCTGGGTATTGTATCCTGAATATAAGTTGTTTTATTGGTAATTTATTGTAGTCTATTTTTTTATTTTTGATTTGATTTATTCAATATCTCAGCTTTAATACTTAAATATAAATCCAAAACAGAAAAATGAAACATGTCAAACAATAAAATGTAGTTTACTGAAACCTTTTTATACATTTTATATAATTAGTTTCATTCTACAGTAATTGTCAATTTTGCAATAACTTTTCTTAATAAATATTTTTAATAAATTATTTACTGTAGGCCTACTGTAATCAAATTTTTATATAAATAAAGTCATATTTTTCTAAATTTATTTTTTTGTATTGTGTTAATATTACTAATCTAATAAATATTGCTACTAATAAATATTTTAAGTCAATTATTTAATCAATTCATATATAATATTAATAATAATTATTTTATTATGACATTAATGTCATATTTTGCTATTAAAATTTATAGTTTTTGTATTGTATATTACATTTGAAATTAATTGAGAAATATTTTTATTGGTGAAATTAAATAAATAAATAAAGGTTACCTGTGTTTTTGGGTTTAATACAAGGAACAGTACCAAACTTTGATCTTGGTGAAGTTTTTGTTGTGGTGTTTGCTTGAAAGAACTGGTTTCAGAGTGAACGATAATAATCTAATTATATAATAAGGCATGAACTATTCGGACAGATTTAACAATCGAGGGCATCACTACACCATTGTAGGGCAATATATTGTGTGTGGCCCGCAGGATCAGCGATCGGAGAATAAGTCATTGAAGCACTTTTGTTGTAACTGTCACCAGAACCTATTCCTGATGATGACATAATTAATGTCGAAATATTGAATCCCATCACGATGGCATGCATTTCAATACTTGGAGTATGTATTAGACTTTCGAAAGCTATAATGTCAGTGTGAAACCATGTTGATTGCGTTGCTGTCAGTTTGTCGTTTTGCCTTAAAAGGATATGTCTTTAAAAAAATTGTACGGAGTAGATAATTCACGTACTCTGTGAGTCTGCTTTGCTGCATTGGCTGTTCAATTATGATGAAACTATATACTGACTGCAACTTCTAGGTTCAATGAATTCAATTGATCAAAATCTTGAATAGAAAGGCTGTGTTGACTGACTTTCCATTCTAAAATCTAAATGAAGTTTGTCTCAATCATATGTATGATTAGGGCAGGAAATATACGATCACGTTGCTATGCAGTGCTCAGTATTTATGGCATATTCTTTATTACTCCTGATTCCAGACACTTTTTGTTGGACTGACTTACCTTTGAAAAACAACAAAGCCAAGTATAATAAGTACATAAAAACCGTAATATGTTCTAATTAAGTGATGTGGATTCCAATTTATTACATGATTGAAAAGCATGAATTAATTTAATTGCACAGTGCATTATCATTTTGTGAGAATGCTGCAATGAGCATTTGATTTGATTTCAGATTACAATTTTGCTCGGAAATAATATTTATTTATTCTTAAAATTGATAGCACTTTCAGTGAGGCAGCACTGGTTTCAAAAGTGGATCGCATGAACAACATATATATACTATATATATATAACAGAAATGCAAATTGGAAATAAAATCAAATGAGCAGATAAAAATCAAATAAATAAAAATCAAATGAACAGAAAATTAAACAGAAAAACCTGAAAATACAAAGAAAAGACTGTAATTTGATTTAGATCCAGGCAAGAGAACATTACTTTGCAGTGGAAATGAATAAAAATATTACAGGATTTTGATTAATTTTTAAGTGTAGCCAGTTGAACATTATTAAAGTTTGATCTAATTTCGTTTGGGAGCAAAAACAACAGAAATACAAATCAGAAAAAAAAACTCAAATGAACTGATAAAAACCAAATAAATAAAAATCAAATTAACAGAAAATTAAAAGGAAAAACCTGAAAATACAAAGAATTGAACAAATTTAATTTAGATCAAGGCAAGAGAACATTACTTTGCAGTGGAAATGAATAAAAATATTACAGGATTTTGATTTATTTTTAAGTGTAGCCAGTTGAACATTATTAAAGTTTGATCTAATTTCATTTGGGAGCACAAACAACAGAAATACAAATCAGAAATAAAATCAAATGAACTGATAAAAATCAAATGAACAGAAATTTGAAGGAAAAACCTGAAACTACAAAGAAATGAACTACAGTAATTTAATTTGGATCAAGGCAAGAGAACATTACTTTGCAGTAGAAGTGAATAAAAATATTATAGGATTTTGATTAATCTTTAAATGTAGCCATTTTAACATATATTAAAGTTTGATCTTGTTTCATTTGGAAGCTTGTTCCATATCATAGTTGCACGGTATAAAAATGAATTCGCTTGCCTTGTACAAGCTTCCATTTCTGCTCCATCAAGGTGTTAATATTTGATTTACTTCTACAGTACAGTAATGCACTGAGAGTGGCTATTTTGATTGAAAAAGTAAATTTGTTAATGAAAGGTCTGACGATTTCTCTCAGGCACTTAAAAGGTAACAATAGTAGTGGTCTTTCCATATCAGTTAACCTTACTCCATCCTAAATCTTTCATACACTTAATACGCAGGTGATGCATTAAAACATGGTATGTCTTTAATTTCACTATCACTAAAGTATGGATCAAAAATTCAACAATACTAATGAAAAGTAAACAAAAGGAAGAAAGTTAAGATTGGTAGTACAAGATCAGGTTCTCTTTGTGAAGCAAAAATAATTCTAGTTACCTGTACAATGTATTATTTCGTTGGCTGTTATGGCATAATGTTTAGGTAGCAGGCTTAAACTTTTCTATACATAAAAACGTACATGTTTTTTAAAGCTAATTAATATTGTGAATTTATTTCAAAGGCTTTAATTTTCCAACAGCGCCTAAAATATCTTGAAAAATAATTTTTATCTCAACAGCCTAAGTACGGGCCTTTGTCTTCCTCATATGTTTAGACTTCATTTGTGATCGCCAACACTGTATAACGTGCATACGACTGGTCCTAGCAAATTGATGCGGTGATTCAAGTTCAATGTTTAAGCTTTTTTTTGCACATGCTCTTTGCATATGCTCTACAAACTACTAGTACTGTAAGCACTAATTAATGTTTACTCGATGATTGGTAATATTACGTGGAATGTAAAATGATACGTCACATTTGATTTGTTAACATCCACTTAAATTGGTTTTAATCAGATTAACTATTTAACAACAAACAAGATATTAAAACAAATTTGAATATTTTCAAAAAAATATATATAAAAATTGCATTTCATATTAAATTCAAAACTTTTCTCAAGGTGATGAAATTACAGCTTGTGAATTTAAATTTATCTGATTAAATTTGTTTTGTTTGTTTATTATATTGTTTTGTTCACACACATGTATGTCATTATAGCTTAATTAAAAGTAGACATTTTAATTAAATTGTTGAAACAAATATCAGAGAAAATATGTGCAGTAGAAGGCCGAAGTACAGTAAGTTTTAAATAAACAAAGCCATGGCCACCAGTTAAAAAAAAAAAAAAAATAATAATAATAATAATAATATAATACGTAAAAAGATAAATAAATAAAATACATATGGTAGATACGGTAGTCTATATTGATAAATTGATATAGTTGTACCAAGTAAAATAAAGCAATAAGCCAATTCATAGAATGCATGTGTATCTAGGTTAATTAACATAAACACATACACAACATAGGTTTTTTTTTATTGACCTTGATTGACCTTGGATACGTGCATGCACAATCCTACCTACAAATTGGCTTATTTGAGAAAATTGCACTGTAATTTGAGAATTGCACTATAAAGCGATTCAAGAATTGCACTACATGTAGTCAGTTAGACTATACTGAGTAACAGTAGATTGATAATCTTATTACAGCAGTACTATAATAATAGTGTGCTCCAAGTAAGCTATAAATTATGTATTAAGTAACAAATGAAATACATCATCAAACTTATATCATTGTGTAATGTTTAAACATACATCAACACGTTGCATATATTTGTTAGCAAATATTTCATCTTAATACTCAAGACTTCGTCAGTGCTATATTTAGACAACTGATTTTATAATTGATGGTGTTACCAAAATTGTGGCAAAATATGCATAGAACATTATAGAATGTTTTTAATACGTATGTGTATAAAAAGAATGTGCTGAAAAAGCTTTATTTATAAGTTGGTGTCTGGTTTGTTTGTGTGTAATTTCAAGATACATTTTAACAGAGCACATTATACGGTCACTATTATTTGATCAAGGTGTATAGACATCAAACGATTTTGTTGAATATAAAGATATCTCTAATTACGATTAAATAACAATTCGGCTTGCCATAGATTTATATAAAGCGTGTGTTCGAGTGTATTTGAATTCTAATAGGGCGCCTCCTATCGTGTGGCAGTGCTTCGTTTTTTTGTTTCATTGCCTGCATGCTTAATCAGAACAGTCAGACCTCTTACAACTCTACACATCGTTTCTTAAACTTTATGGTTGCGTGTGCGCTGGCATTCAACCATTCATTTTATTATAGTCCTTGACTGCAAAATGTAATTGATCATGTGCATTAAGAAAGTAATGAACAATGATATGCGAACGTCTCAGGCAAAATCCTACATTTGTCTAAAAATTAGTTTTTGGTATCTTCCTGATGATGACCTAGTTAATGTTGAAATATTGAATCCCGACACGATGGCGTGCATTTCAATACTTGGAGTACGTATTATACTAATTTTAAAATACTACACGCAAATGAATCTTAAAAAAAGCCTTTATTTGATGAGATTCAGTCAGTGTCAGCAAAGTTATAAATATTTCATTAGTTTTTTTTTTAATCAATTTGTAAATTGTAAATTTAAAACAGTGCTCCAATTCAGAACTTTGGACTGCTATTGTACAAATGGATTTTTTATTAATAATAATAATAAAATTGTACTGTATCAGTTGCCACAGTTTTTAAAGAAATAATCTTTCCAAGATTCCTGTTAGTAGAAAGGTGTATATTTTTAAAATAATTTTATTCTTTTCAGTGATATTAGTGAATAATATTTGGCAGGATTATTTTTTCAATATTTCTTCTTTACTACTGTAAAATGCAACATAAAACTGATCTACAGTTGAAATATTGATTTTCAAAAATTTTGGTTGCTAACACAAAATTTAAAATGCCAACAATTAAGGGTTTGCCAAAGCAGGTCATACCACCGTACATATTTATGAATATTGATGGAAATGTCCAAACAAAATGCTGCATACAGTAATAAGCTGAGGCCTCACATCCATGCTGTAGTTCTCTCAGCTATCATGTTTTCTTGATCCTTCTTTGTATTCAGTTTTAAATATTTCTTCAGTCCTAATCTGTATTCTTTACTAAACACGAAATAGATGACCGCATTAATTAATGTGCCCACCTGTGCCCACCAAGGTATGAAAAACCCGATCCAATGAGGCTCCGTTTCGCCGCCCGATAACATACGGTACACACTTAAAACGGTGAATGGAAGCCAAGTTATATTAAAAGCAAATGTTATCACCAAAAGCATCTTTAGAGCCTTCATATTCTTCCCGCCGGATCGCTTACCGGGCTCTTTATTAGATGATTTATTGCTAGAAACCGCACTGATCTGCGCTTCGATCTGTGTTGCATGGCGACGCGATATTTTCAAAAGCTGTATGTACGAAAAAAACATGATTGTCGTTGCTGGCAAGAGAATAAGGGTTATCAGACTCATTGTGTAAAGTCGGTTGGACTTGAGGTCTGGACTACATAGATATGAGTTCTTCATATACGTTGCTCCCAACGAAATAAATACCGGCATGCCAAACATGAAGCTAATTATCCATATTGCCAAGTTGATGATTTGGCATTTTCGGATGCTCATAAACTGGAGGTATTTCATGTGGTAATAGATGGAAACATACCGATCAAGATTTAACATAGCTTGCGTGACGATCGACACGTCTGACGCCTGCACTATAATGAATGCTTGAGTCTCGCAAATAAGTTGGTGATACGGGAAATAAGAGTAACCAAAAATAGCCGGATAGATGGACAAAGTGAAGATGAGTCCTGTTATGAAACCGGCGCACGATAAGGATCGGAGGTACATTCCCATGTTGTTCTTGAACGTTGGAAGTTGCGAAAGCAATACAAAGTTCAAGGCATTTAGCAGGAGAGTCAGCAAAGAGATGATAATGATGCAGAAAACTTCCATTGTCGTGGCAACAATGTGTAAACCCGAATCCTCTGAAAAGTTCCCTGTTTGTGTTGTATCATCCATTATGTTCCAACTGGCTGTAATTAACTTGCTATATATTTTTAATCTGCTACCAGGTCTGTTGTAGATATGTTACATTTACAAATGCCGAAGTATGGAACTTGAATGAATCGATCAAAATCTTGAGTCTAGATTTCAAAGTGATTGCTTTAAATTTTTTGAATATGTAAAATGAAAGATACCTGAAACAGCCTTTAATTTGAAAATACCTGTTCCCATACATATCAGAGACTTCCTTTAACGCGCTTCAGTTACATGTTCATATGCGTCAGCAATGGAGTCGTGATAAAGTGATGTCTTTTAATTGAAGCACAGCGAACATGCAGTCAAGTGATACAAATTGTGAATGATTCCTGGTAGCTTAAGTTTCATCCAGATAATAAATGTAATCTACATTGGACTCGATGTGGCAGCTGGTAAATCACAAATTCCATATAAATCAGTATTAATTCTTGTGCGTTACATTCAAGATTCTCCTGGAATTAAATTGGAAAAAAAAATAAATAAAAGTAAAACTTTCTTCAAGCTTGCAAACAATACCAAGTTTACTAAATTTAAACATTGGCGAAGAATAACAGTTTTAAATAAACAATATTAATATTAAAACATAATAAAACAAATGCCAAGGTATATACTGTATGTACTGTGTTTGCATTAAAATATGGTATTTAAACCGCCAATGTTAAGCCATTCTGTAGGACCCTTTCAAAGATAAACGCGCAAGATTACCGCAATATTGTTGTAAAAAGGGCGCTGTGTGGAAGGGTACATGCCGGTTATTATACCGGCATACTTACCGCAATATTGAGGCAACGTCTATCTGAAAGGGGCTACTGACACCCAACATTCTTATCATTTTTAATATTCTTTATCATTCATAAATCAAGTAATATTTTGAAATTACTTAAATGTAGATACTGCTTACTGCTTGAAAAATTGATTTTTATGGGTTTTTTTTTTTATTTTACTATTTTTTTTTTTCTAAATATAGGGAAACACAAAAGGCTATGATCTTCTTATTCATCAGTTGGCTGATCCAGAAATAAAGGTAATTTTGTTTCCTAATGTTCTTCCTTTTTGTTTGTCAAAAAAGAAATTGAAAACTACAGATGACATCCTTTTCCCAAGCAACTAAAATCTGATAAAAAAAAAAATAACCAGAAAGAAAAGATAGTTACAACTTAAAATCTAAAGTTCAGTCTACAATGTGACATATTATGTGACAAATCTGTGTGATGTGCCCATATATGGGCATGATGAAGTCATACAGGTATATCTCAGTTATTTGTCACTTAAAACTTTGATAGTGTAGACAGTTTTAAACTCTGTCCACGCTATCACATTTCATGTGACAAATCTGTGTGATGTGCCCATATATGGACATGTTGATGTCATACAGGCATATCTCAGTTATTTGTCACTTTACATAATGCAAAAGAGGGTTCTACAAACATTCTCATATTTCATTAGTAATTGTGGCAAAGACAAGCCAAACCAGTCACTCGTCGCAAAAATTGATTATGAGTTATTAATATATGAAGTTACAAGCGTTTAACCACACAGCTGTTTCAAGAACAATATATGAGAAATTAACTGTCAAAGTTTATGATTTCAGACATTTCTCATGCAGAAACTATCTTTAAATCCTTAAAAAGTATTGTTTTAATATTGAAAATGGGGAAAATATAGAATGCTGTGTAGATATATAAAGGTTAGTTTAGTGCGATAAAATAGATTTTTAAAAATTTGACATTCCAGCATGTTTTGGCCATTTTTCTCTGAAACATGATTTGCGACGAGTAACTGGTTTGGCTTGTCTTTGCCACAACTAGAAATAAACATGTTAGGAATCAAGTTGGCTTAAACAAGTTCATGGCTGTCATTTTGACATGAAAATGCGAGATAAAAGCTGATTACCTGGGGTGGAGGTGAGATTTCACCCTTCCCCGTTGCATAACTTACAGTACGACTTCACTCACTATAGAAGAAATCTGCCATATTTAATAATTTCGTTCAGTCTTAAATAAAATATTTATGTTGTTTATAGTGCTGCTACGCTATTAGTATTAATTACACTGTAATTAAAATGGTAAATCTTTTGCTTTGCTCATATGTATGAAAAAAAAATGACATGTAATTGAAATTTATTTAGAATGTAGTCATAACTACTCATAAAAAAAAAAAAGATGTAGTTTCCAGCTTCAGTCTTAAACCTCTACTCTGTGTTTGGAAGCCCAAATCCTCTCTGTCCCACATGTGTATTGTTAATATTTGGTAAATAAAACTAATTTTCCTTTTCTTTTTATTTTTAGTCTTGTTCGCTTTTGTCTTGGATTCAAGAGCTGCGTCAAGCGGTGACCCTGCTATATAAAGATTTTGAGTCACTTGTTTCCACTGTCTTGGTAAGTATTTTCTAAGAAAAAACCCTCTTTTAATTTACAAGTGGTCAATCTTATAGCACTCTGGAATATTAAAGTAAATGTTAGCGATCATATATATTGCTGAATTCATTAACTATATGAGGCATGTTGTGGCAAAATGGCCAAGTTGTAGCAAAAATTGAAAATCAAGTTATTGGTATTTTCAGATACCTGAGTATGTGATCTTTAAAATGAGGGGTCATTCATTCAAATTGGAAATTTCAAGCCTAAGTTATTGGAAAGTGAAAGTTGAGTTACGCTTGGAGTCAAGATAAACACAATTTTGAGTAATTACCTTTCAAAGTTATTTGTGCATACATTGCTTAATAGAATGAACTATGAAAAATAACATTAAATAAACAATTTGTTAAACCACTTCCAGAACTAATACTTTGGGACATAATTAATAAGACATTAAACTGTTGATCTATAGTGAAAAACAAATTTGGATTTTTAGGTAATTTTTTGAGCTCCCATATTTTATAGCTCATTTACTCAATACTGGACTGTGTGCCAACTTAACCATTTCGCCACAACATGCCTCATTTGCTCTGTCTTCACTATCAAATTTCTTCCAACAAAAAAACTGTATGTATGCCCATATATAGTCATGATGCCTATATATGGTGATGATGTGATGTTATCATGACCATATTTAGGCATGGCATAGTTTTTTGAACAGAGTTAAGTGAGTTTTGTGCCATAATCATACCATATATCTTATCGTATCAAAATTTAGTTTTGCCAGAATACAAATTTAGATTTACAGAAAAGCAAACACAACTTTTAGAGGGTTCAATTAACATTTCAGAATTTCAGTTTTTTTTTTTTTTTTTGCCTTACTCTAGAAAAATTCAGCATTGTTAATACTGTATGGTAGAATTGGTTGCTAAAATGCTGTCTTGTTCCTTAACAGAGAATATTGGAAAGTGGCTTTAAGTGTGCTTATAAACCTGTATTCTAAGATGTGCTTATACCTTAGACTATTAATTAAATATTATTCCATTTGTAATCCGTTGTTTTCTCTTCTCTTCAATAGAAAGTTCGATGGGAACAGCATGACCCAGAAGTTATAGATGAGTATCGGGCTCTACTGGTTGATTTGGTTTCAGCCCAAACACTTTATTTGAGATTGGTGTTAAAAATGCTTATCAAGAAATTTCTATTAAGTAAGGAACATATTTGATATATATTAGCATGTGAGGCAGGAAAAATATTTTGGCCTTCCACTAGCATAGAATAGGCTGCTTGCTTGTTTCCTGGGAAAGGCAACTTATCCATGTGGTCTCCATCACTATATAGAGTAGGTTCAAATGTGAATGATTATTCCAATGTTATGGAATACTCCCTCAGAGGGCTGAGTAGCATTAGCAGCACCAGATTCCTTGATGGCAACGAAGTCCACACCCAACTCGGCCATACCATGGTTAGGGCTGCGGTAAGGAGGTACTGTAGGAGAATAACCAATAACTCGCAGCATAATTATGCTGAATTGCGTGGTCCATGACTACCTAGCCACCGTGTAGAGGCGCTTATAGTAGATACATATTGTTCAGATTATTCCACGACAGTTCCTGAAATGAACTACAGCATTAGGGTAATCCCCCCCCCTCTACTCTTCCAAAAGATACAATATCCACACAAGCCAGATGTATACACTCAACCTTCATTTTAAGTCCTTATTCGAGAACAATTGGTTTTACCGACCGAACCCTGAGCGAGGAGTGGCTTGAACTGGTGCCGATGGTAAGGCCGTAGTTAGCAGATAACTATCTAGATTCCTGCATATGGTACAGTACTTCCATTTGTGTTGACTGACGAAATGGTGAAAATGTTTTCCCCACGTGTGGTCCAGTTTTTGATGTGGTCTTGGCCCTCCCGGTACCTCTGCAGGCACTGCCATCGCCGAGTATGTGTTCCTTATTAAACGATCAACGATTGAAGTACTGATAATAATGTGGGGCTCAGGGGTTTACGCGCTTTGCTTTATAAGATAGACATATTAGATTAGATACAATTAATTCTATTGCCAAATTTTTCATCTAAAAATAGAAACCTTTATTCTTAATATCTGATTTGGCATCTAATATTTGATGAATGGATTATTAATCTGGGAATCTCATATTGTGTTGAATTTGGGATTTCAACGTGACTGTGAATCAATACTGGAAGAAAAACAATGTTTGTTTTTTGAGTGGCAGTATTAAATTGCTAATCATATTAATATTATGGACATTTGTTTAATTACGAGTTGTTTATACATCTAATTATGGTTTATGATAATATACGACCAAGTTTAAGTGTAGATAGACATGTACTTTTTCATTGGTATTTATTTAGACTCTTTCTTTTGACTTTCTTGAAGGACTCTGCACTCGTTCTTTAACTTTCTGTTTGCACTGTTAAATTTTATGTGACAAGTAAATGTGATATGCCCATATTTGGCTGTAATTAATACAAGAACACAATGTTTGTTTTGTGAATGTCAGTATTAAATTACTAATCATATTAATAATAAGGACATTTAGCATGTCCATATTTGTGTGTAATAAAGATATTATCAGTGTACTTATAAGGCAGGGATGGGCAAAAAATTGGTGGGAGTGCCAAAGTGAATTTTGGATTTAACACAGAGGGCCAAACCTAAACTTTGATGTTTCCAGTGAGCTTCCAAAAACCTCAAAGCACTGCTTTTACACCACTTTATTCTCAGTTTTAATGTTACTTTTTATATATTATCGGTGTCTAGCCGTAAAAAATAAGGTGTTTACCACCCAATGCTGCTTGGCAGGCCGCACACATAGGGTTTTTAATTCATTTTCGCGGGCCACAAAAATATTACTATTGGGCCGCATGTGGCCTGCGGGCTGCACTTGCCCACCTGTGTTATAAGGGCACATCACATTAATTTGTCACATAAAATTTTTTACTGTGTATAGAACTAAAGAATTCCTGAATGTCATTGTGATACATTTTATTGAACTAGGTGATACATTAAATCAAATTAAACATTCAGATTCACTTAAAAAAATCAGTATGAGACAAAAAAATAACTTATAACATTTAATATAAATGTATTATAAGATAATTATTATTGTCGTAACACCCCATCTAGACGAGTTGAATGGCCGAGTGGTTAAGGCAGGTGCGTGGTGAATCACAGCCAAAATATTTATTAATTTTGCCTAGCAACAATTCATGAATTCTGTTTTTTCTATTCAATCTACTGTCCAGATGATGAATGATGAATATTTCATGAAATATCTTTGTGTTCTTTTATAAGAAAATATTCATGAACTTATTACTGTAGAATATAATTAAGGATGAAGCATTGTTATATCTGTTCTATTGATTTCTAAGTTCCTTGGTTTAGTCCTAGGATTTTGTCTTTTGTTTTGCTTAACATCAGCACATAGAGACCACGTATTATGTGTTATACAAATCCCCAACCATTAATTATACCTTCATTAATGTTTATTTGCTCCTGTAGATTATAAGCCTATGGATGAAACCGACGAGGCTAAAATGAAGAGGATGGCGAGTGAATCTGCGTGTTTTCGACACGTACACACAACGCTCCAAATCATTATCAAGATTGTCCCCATGTAAGAGAATAATTTTCTGACTATTTTGTAAAATTTCATTCGCATCTAACTGTGAGTAAAGCTGGCTACTCACTGTGGTCGACAGCTAATGCGATTCTATGGCGAAGGCAACGCCACAACGCGCGCAACGGATCATTCTTAATCACGATCCGTTTAGGCTGTTGCATCGGCAGACGCCGTTGTGTTGTCTGTTTTTGTCCCACAGGGAGTGGAGTTAGGTTCATCGGCCGATGGTGGTACGACCACTGTACGATGCAGTGATTGCCCGGCTTAACTCGCCGAGAATCTTAACCACTATGCTAACCAACTCCACTCCTTCATTGCTATTTTGAATCAATTGTGATGTCATGTTTTTCAAATTTATATAATTTTCTGATTAACGAAATGTCTACCAGGACGTTAGGCCTATTTGATAATAAACCAAAGTTCATCAAACTTAATTAAATGTATATTTATTGTATTAATAGAGAACAAATACTACGATTTGAACACATATTAGGAAAAAAATTCTCATTATGGGCTGGCCTAATTTTCTTTTTTTAATGGCAAAAGTATTTAAAATAGAAAAAACTAACATACCATTCTGAGATTACCATATGTGGACACCTATTGGTGCTGAAAATGAATTCTCGATCATCTGTAAAAAATCCCTTCCACAATTACTTTTAATTTTAATTTCTGGAACTTTCACTGCTAGCTACTACTAATACCAGTGACTGTGCTGCCAGCGTCTGAAATCCCAAGGTCAATTTTGTGGGGTAAAAAATAGCACCTGCTTGACTCTAGTATGTATGTAACAAGAGGACTCATAAGGCCTTAACTAGCTGGCAGTGTCTTGATAGTAAGTGATTGTTATAATTGGTGGGTGGGAACTGGTGGCGGGGCGGGGAAAGAAAATTATCTGGGGGAATCCCCTTGCTTCCGTAGCACTGCCACTGACTAATATAGTACTCTTGTACTAGTGAAAACCTGAACAACATTAACCTTTTGTACACTATTCAATTTTACTTGGCAAATAAATGTGATGTGCCCATATATGGATGTAATGTGACATCATCATAACCATATATGGGCACATCACACAAATTTGTCACATGAAGTAATTCTATTGTAGCTTTATTTTATTTAGTATCTATTGTCATGTTTTGTTTAATGATAGGACACCTCAGTTTCTGATGCCAGCTCTTTCCGACTGCTTCCCATTCATGAGGAAAGATGTGTATGTTCAGGTAAGCTAATAAAGGGTTTGCCTTTATTATGATGTATTTGCAGTGATTGGCCTGCTTAACTCGCCGAGAATCTTAACCACTATGCTAACCAACTCCACTCCTTCATTGCTATTTTGAATCAATTGTGATGTCATGTTTTTCAAATTTATATAATTTTCTGATTAACGAAATGTCTACCAGGACGTTAGGCCTATTTGATAATAAACCAAAGTTCATCAAACTTAATTAAATGTATATTTATTGTATTAATAGAGAACAAATACTACGATTTGAACACATATTAGGAAAAAAATTCTCATTATGGGCTGGCCTAATTTTCTTTTTTTAATGGCAAAAGTATTTAAAATAGAAAAAACTAACATACCATTCTGAGATTACCATATGTGGACACCTATTGGTGCTGAAAATGAATTCTCGATCATCTGTAAAAAATCCCTTCCACAATTACTTTTAATTTTAATTTCTGGAACTTTCACTGCTAGCTACTACTAATACCAGTGACTGTGCTGCCAGCGTCTGAAATCCCAAGGTCAATTTTGTGGGGTAAAAAATAGCACCTGCTTGACTCTAGTATGTATGTAACAAGAGGACTCATAAGGCCTTAACTAGCTGGCAGTGTCTTGATAGTAAGTGATTGTTATAATTGGTGGGTGGGAACTGGTGGCGGGGCGGGGAAAGAAAATTATCTGGGGGAATCCCCTTGCTTCCGTAGCACTGCCACTGACTAATATAGTACTCTTGTACTAGTGAAAACCTGAACAACATTAACCTTTTGTACACTATTCAATTTTACTTGGCAAATAAATGTGATGTGCCCATATATGGATGTAATGTGACATCATCATAACCATATATGGGCACATCACACAAATTTGTCACATGAAGTATATTGTATTGTAGCTTTATTTTATTTAGTATCTATTGTCATGTTTTGTTTAATGATAGGACACCTCAGTTTCTGATGCCAGCCCTTTCTGACTGCTTCCCATTCATGAGGAAAGATGTGTATGTTCAGGTAAGCTAATAAAGGGTTTGCCTATTATGATGTATTTTTCATATTCTTCTATATTCTTTTGTTTTCTTTTTAAGACAAAGTCATTTCAACATGTTCATTTGTATAATAATAATAATAATAACTCAATCGAAACGTGGAAAATTTCTCAACCAACAACAGTTCTTTTCAGAACTATCTATGTGGTGTACCGCAAGCATTAATATAAATATTATTACTTCACCATGAAAATCTTCAAACAATAATAATAATAATAATAATAATGATAATGATAATAATAATAATAATAATAATAAGCATAATAATAATAATAATAAAAATGATAATAATAATAAGCATAATAATAATAATGATAATAATAAGCATAATAATAATAATAATAATAATAAGCATAATAATAATAATAATAAGCATAATAATAATAATAATGATAATGATAATAATAATAATAATAAGCATAATAATAATAATAATAATGATATGTATTTGCACTTGCACTTTTACATCAGTGGCACACATTGAAGAACACAGGTGCATCCAAAATACAAAACTTAAAGACAAATGATAATGTGATACATCAAATTAACTAAAACAAACCAACTCAACACTACATAAGAATAAATGATTTTAAGTTTTATACACATATTTACATTATTAAAATATATATAACTGTAGCACTAAAACATAATGAGTAGCTATTTCTACATAATACAACCAATCTCTTCATCTGTATTTTATTTTATGAAAGTTGAATCTACCTTTATTTTCAATAAATTCAATACCAGCATTCTACTGTTAAGTGGTATATGACATGCCTAGTTGCTTGGCAACTGCATTATAAAAAACCATAGTAATAGTGCAGTAGGAAATGTACACACAATTTGATGAAATTCTATTCTGCAATTAATCTATTAATTAACAGAGCTCTAATAAAGCCAAATAAACAAAAATTATTGTGTTGGGCACGTCCGACTGACCGAAAATGTACGAAATTAAGGTTCGGCATCTGTCACATAAAATTTGATAGTGTCAGGGGCGGATTTAGGAGGAGGGGGAAGGGGAAGGCTGGTCGCTGCCCCCTTTTGGACATCATAAACAATTTTATTAACCCATTAACTGTTCTTTACTATTTTAATATTTAATTATAGGCTTTTATTATTATTTTATTGCTATACCTTGTGATTTTTATTTTTTCAATGTATTTTAACTAAAATACAATGTACAGTATTCTGTGATTTAGATTAGGCTTGTTTAAATCGTATTTTTAATTCAGACCTTTTCAATTTTATTAATATGCAAACTTTTGATATTTTATATACTGTAATCTTGTATCCTAAAACAGGACCATATGTAAAACAGGCTATTATATGCCACCTCATTATGCCATCCTGTATGTTCAATATGTTCAATAAATAAATAAATAAATAAATGAATAAATAAAGTACTGTAGCATCTAGTAGTAATGATAGACATACTTTTTGAAGAAAGTAATTACCTGAAGTTTAGAGATTCTAATTTTTTTTCAACGATATTGATTATTAATAGATTATATTTTGTGCTTGAATATATGTTGGTTTATAAATAAAAAGTGAATTTATCTGTTTTAAATATTGGACACGACGATACATATTTAACAGCCATAGTATGGATACCGTCCCACCAATTATGTTCCCTTTGTGTAAAGAATTACATAATTTTATAATTAATATTCAAATAGATATATTAAGTGAGAAATAATCAATAGTACAACAAATTTAAAATTGAATTATTTTCAGTTACCTTCACATGTTTACATTGATGACACTTTGATTGATAAGTAATTAGTCATCATTATTTTGGAAAAGGCGGTTGGGCCCTAGGTGGAAACATTTATGAATAAACCTCATCCAGGGCTCATGTGATATGAACTCCTCCCTCAAATAATCGCCTTGGTGTGATCATTTTCTTTCCTTGACTTAAACTCCCCCTAAATGACTAAACAAAGTCAGTCAACACATTCTATTTTTCTACTCCAGTACAATCGCATTTTTTCTAACATTGTTGGGATCAAGAAGTCTTTATTTTCATGCAATAACACATTTTGATGGTAATTATTTACCACATTTACGGTGAAAATAAGGGGTGTTTATTTGAGTATATGTATCTATTTTACACCACCCCCCCCCCCAAAAAAATAAAAATAAAACCCTTCCCTAAAATAGACACCTCCTTAAAGTAATTTAAAAAAAAAGGCTTAAAATAAAATCATACTCTCTAAGCTGGAGAGTGATAAGGGAGAGAAGGAGGCTTTCAATTTCTATTTTTTATTTTGCTAAAGATAAACATCACCTTTAATATTTTTCTAGTGCATTTATATTCAAAGTAAAATACATGGTTGTGACATGGAGGAATAAGTTTTTCCTGCATGGTTGTGATAAAACAAGCAATATACCATGGACCTATTAATAAGATCTTATTAATAGGTTTATGAATATACTAAGGGTTTGTTCACAATTATCAAAGTTTTTCCGCAAGTGTACAAACAGTACTTGTTTCAGTACCCCTCCCTCCCTTCAGAAAGTGTACTTAAAAAATGTTTATCCAGGTATTAGTATTCATGAAGCAGACCTCTTATTTTAAATATCGCATGTTTAATATTTTGAATCAAAATTTTCATGATGTATTTACAAAGAAAGGGTATAAATTTGTCTACCCTCCCCCCCTAATAATAATAATAATAATAATAATAATAATAATAATAATGTACTGCTACGTCTTCTGGCCCACTAATGTACTGATTTTAATACAATAAATAACAAAATTATTACAGAAACAGCAATGCATGTTTTTTTTTTAAACATGTGGCTATTATTATGTTAAGTGCATATTTTGTGACAAATTTGTGTGATGCGCCCATTTATGGGCATGATGATGACATATTACACCCAAATATGGGCATTTCACCTTTATTTGTCACATAGAATTTGATAGTGCGAACAGAGCTTAATTTGCACTTAACAGTCTCTAGTAGAAGTTCATTCTTTGTGGACATAAGCTTATACATTTCATGTCTACTTTGTGAAGCACTTTCCTTTTCATCTTTTATTTGTTGTAATTAGACTAATGGAGCTATAATAATTATACCTAACAAAGAAGTAAGTTAATTGGAGTATAAAAATCACTTTCAATAAACTACTTGTTTTCTGAAATAATAATCCCTTCTAAATATAGTATCACTGTAAATACCAGACAATCAATAGCATTTTTCTAGGGTTAAACAGTAAATTACTTACTTTGCTATACTTTTTCAGCCATTATCTTTCCACTGTAGGATGAAAGCCTCAGTATGTGTTCTCTATTTATGTATATTATTTACAGAGCTTAACTGATGTTCATATAGGGAACCTTAAATAACTACATTTTTGTATTGATACAGAAATGATGTAAAATATGATGCTGTAGTATTAAGCATCACCTTCAAATAAACTCCCTCTTAAAAACCCTTCTCAACAATAAACACCCTGGGGCTTTTATTCAAATAAATACGGTTATTAAAAAATAGCTCTGTACTGTACCTAGAAGTAAGTTCTGAGCTTTGTTTGTGGTGAATTCAATTTAGAAAAAAAAAAAAAAAAAAATCAGACAATTGCATTATTACCTTTAATTATCTGCAATTATATGCCATCTAGGTAGTTAGATGCCCGTCTCCAGTTTTCCTTCGTAAAAATGATTGTAATAAACTTTACTGATTACAGTATTCATTTTATAAGAATCCTTGCCTCAGAAAATCCACCTCACTTACTGTAATAAATAAGCACAAAACCCAACATGGTTTTTGTTTTTTACTCAATGAACCGATAAAGACACTTTAGTGGCATTTATTAATGATATATTCTGTTTTGAATAAGTGTTGCTGTATTAACCAAGAGCACTTTCATCGATCACTTTAGCAAAAAAATCCGAAAGACATCTATATTTTCTCTATACACTACAGTCACTCCAGGTTAATCACTATGCTTCCCACCTGTTTTTTGTAGTAGTATTTTAAGGTTTGACAAATGATAGTATTGTATGGCAGTCTATACAGACTACAACTAAAAGAAACTAGATATAACAGAACTTGGCTTTTACTCATTGAAATAATGAGAAATGATGTATGAAATTCTAAAATAAAAAAATGCATAAAAAAAAATTACACTAATATAAATTTAAAACCTTGGTCACAATGATAAGGCAAGACATTCTTCAAACCTTGTTTCGCAAACTAATTTTTTTTAGAGATCCTCAGAGGAGAAGCGTAAAAAATGAAAATAAAATTTTGTTTTCTTATTTAGCAAATAGTTTCACCAAAAACATCCAGAGGGAGGAGAATATAAAAATAAAATGTTATTGGTGAATGTAAACAATATAGTAATGAGAAGGTTAAATGCTTCAAATTTATATAATTAGGAAGAAATATACATATCTTAATTTTGGAGATTTCAAGGCAGCGGCGGACAAACTAAAGAAAAGCTTTTATTTTATTTCTGAAATTTCTATTTTTTTCATGGTGATGGGTGTGCTAATTGGCCAAAAATTAAATTTTATTTGTATTCGAAATCATCATTATTGGCAGACGGTAGGTCACTAAAACAAGGTATAAAGCAAGTCTTGCTTATCCTTTGGGGTTATAAATTTAGGGTTTTAAAGCATACCTAAACTTGTCAGTGCCGGTGGATTTTCTGTTTATGGTTTATGTATCGCAACGACCAACTTGCCTATTACTTTTGATGATTGAGAAAAAGCACATATTTTTGTTGAACTTAATGTAGAATAATGTAAATTGCAAATCTCTACTATTTACATTACATTACAGCAAGATAAATGTTTTATTAACTGTGTTTACATAAATTATGTAAAATGGATTCATTTTTACTTGGCACAGTTTTGATTTATGGGCTTTGCTTGGACCAAGTTTGAAAATGATCGAACCATGGAATATGACCAAAGTGTAGAATAACCAGTAGAAAGTTATCTTGTATCCCATATTTTCTTTTCTTACCCATTATATAGGAATGCTATGTCAAGAATCTGCTTGTTCTAACACAGTATGTGCCTAGATTGAGACAGAAAATTCTAGAGCTGATTATAGAGAAGCTGATACTATTGGATGTAAGTGAGCTACCCACAATCAGGGGCAGATTTAAGGTGTGGGAGAGGGGGTGGGTCTCGGCTCCCCCCTCCCCTTTTCGAAAGTAAAGAAAAAAGAAAAAATGCCTCAGAGGTTATTTTCGGGCATCTAGAAAACAAAAGTTTGCAGACCACCTAGGGTAGTGTTATCTCGATCTGCCCCACTTTCGGCCTCCCTTTCGTACCCCCTTCTCTGCCATCTCAGGATCCACCTCTGACAATGGATACATGGTCAATATAATTGGGTTATAAAGTTTAAAATAACCATTGAGGTTTCATTGGAATAGTAATGTAGTTTTGCGTTCTCAGGGAGAACATTTAACTGACGAGGAAACCAGAACAAATAAATAAATAAAATAAAACAACAGGGTGAAGCGAGCTTCACCAGTAAACCATGAGAAGTATCCTAATCGCCATCATCATAGTCATCGTCTTTCATCGATCCACTATATTTTATCATCAAGACCTCTACTCACATCATCATCAACATGATTTTAGGGGGCTATACAAGGACTTATTTAGCCTCCTCCACTTAATGTATATATTTATGCATTATTTGGAAATAAATGAAGCTGAGACCTGATTATTGCACACTCACGAATATTGTAAAAAGAACAGATATTGATTGTACAGTGGTGGATTTAGGAGGGTGGTTTGGGGGTGAAAAAAAGAAATGGAGAAAAAATAAAATTGTATTCAACATATTCAAGTATGAGTGTCATTTCCGTCTATCGGGAGCCGTAATTATCAAGAGCAACAATCATAATTTGTCTTACATCGCCTTTACCATGGTGGGGCTAAGGTGTGAGGACCCTCTATCCATGAAATTCCCTCCCTAGGCCACCTCTGTATTTAAAATAAAGTGGATCCACCACTGTTGTAATATACTTACTCTATGCCAATGTTTTTAAATTTTTTTGAAGGTTCATGCTCCAAGGGCAGAAATAGAGGAAGCGGAGGATGCTGAGGATAGTGAAGATGACATGGAGGATGTTATGTTTGAAATGGTTAGAACAATATCATTATCAACCATCAGATAGTTGCTTTTACATTAAATTAATCTAGGGCCGTATTAAAAATATGCCACAAAAAAAAAAAAATAAAAAATTAAAATAAATTCCATAAAAATGAAATTTCAACTTCATATATTTATAAGAACCACATAAGTTATTAAGTCACAGATCAAAATCTGTATGTTACATGCTACATCTACTGTATGCCATAATACCAGTAACATCTTTTGTATGGCATAGTACTACATCTTCTGTATGCTACAATGCTACATCTACCATATGCCATAATGCTGTATCAACCACAATACTACATCTACTGTATGCCACAATAATACATCTGCCATGTGCCACATTATTTAATCTACCCTATACCACAATACTACATCTATTGTATGCCATACTACATCTACTGCATATGCCATAATGCTACATCTACTGTATACCAAGTACTACATCTTCTGTATGCCACAATGCTACATCTACCGTATGCCACAATACTACATCTACCATATGCCACAATACTATACATCTGCCATGTGCCACAATACTAAATCTACCACATGCTACAATAACATATCTACCAGATGCCACAGTACTACATGGTGCTGTCTGCCACAGCGCTACATCTACTGTATGCCACAGTACTATATCAACTACTGTATATGCCCCAATATCACATATTACCAGAATATTACATCTACCATGGCACTGTAATACAATACTGTATGCAAGAATACTGCATCTACTACTTGCCAAAATACATCTGAATATTTCACTTTATACTTTATTTCTACTGTATGCTACATCTACTATATGCCACAATGCTACATCTTCTATACTGTGTGCCACAATACATCTAGTTTATGCCATGATAGTACATCTAGTGTAAGCTATTATAATATATCTTCTATATACCATGATCCCATTTCAGGATGGAGTTTCAGAAGAAGTAATTGAAGATAAGTGCAATTTAAGAGAAGAAGAAGAAGAAGAGACAACAGACAGCAAGAAGACGATACGGCCAATGAAACATCCGTTAGCTAATACACTTGATGTCCTCATGAAAATTATGCTGGAATACATCCATGATACTTGCCATCCAAACGGTAACAATGTTGATTAATAATTTCAGTTGGTCGTCACCATCATTGCCATCATAAAAATCATTGTCAGCCCTGAATTTTCTCACGTTTTGGCATTATCACCATCATTGTTGTCATCAGTAACATTATCGGTCCTTGCATGCCTCGCGTTTTGGCATCATCACAATCTTTATCATCATCGTCATCATAATCAGCCCTAGAATGTCTTATGTTTTATGCATCATCACCATCATTGTCATTGTCAACATCATTAGGGAGCTATCGATTGCACGACGACGGTAGGACGTAGAACGTAATGATGTCACTAAAAGTCATCTGCGCATGCGAAAACGTTAAGGTTACCTTGTCGAGTAGATTCTGGAATGCAATTTGGCCAAATCTACGTATTCAGAGAACGTTGGACGCCAGGTAGGACGGTCACGCATGAGTGATTCCGTCGCACAAATCGAAGGCTCCCTATTATCAGCCCTAGCATGTCTCACATTTTGGCACGAAACTCTACACACTTGAAAAAACAAAACATTTATAAATTGCAAGAGACATCTGAAATTAAAAATTGTTTACATTTTAAATTGTTGTACATGAGTTATTTAAATTAAAAGGGGTGGTTAACACAGCTAGATCTGGAGGTCATGGGTCAAATCACATGCTCTCCATTTTTTGCATTGTCAAAAGACACTGAATGTGTTTGTCTCTCTCCAACCAGAATTGTAATTATGGCTACTTGGTAGAATATAAATACTTTCTACCAGGTGATAGGAAGATTTATCAAGGAGTGAGGGGGTTTTGTGAATCAAGCCACAGCAGTACTGCTAAGTGTATCCAATAGAAGGGGTTGGGAAGAAGCATATTGTTGCCATGAGAACGTGTTGTCAATTACCATCACTATATTGTACTCCATCAAATATGAGGCATGTTGTAGCAAAATGGCTAATACCCCATTCAGACTAGCATCGCATTGCGATCTGTTGTAGCAATTGCGACACCCAATCGCACCCCAAAGTAAAATCGTGTGTGAAAGCTCACTAATAGCAGTCGATGTGTAATCGATATCGCAATTGTTACCCGTTGCCAGCGTGACCACTGCTTGGGTATTTACCCAAGATCATGGGTATTTTGACTTGATCTTGGGTTCTTGGGTATTCCGTTCAAATCCTTGGGTATTTTTCATTTATACTAAAAAATTAAATATTTTTTTCATAGAGGAAGAATTAAGAAGTAACAAAGTATATTTCAGTCCATTCAAGTAAGCAAAACTAAACAAAGTGTACATAACATTGTTAATTGACTGTTAATTGCTATAAACATGGGTTCAGAATTGTTTATTTGTGATTTGCGTTGCCATTGATCTTACCTAATTAATGCATTACATAATAAAACTTGATCGCTGATCTACTGATAACACTGGCCGACTGAGGGCGTATTTTTCTATCCGTATTATCACCTCATGAATATTAATTTTAATAATTAGCACAAACAATTACAATAAAAAAAATGGTTTATAAATTGAACTAAAAGGGAAATTTTTCAAATTTTAATGCATTTTCAGGAAGCTTGGGTAATTTTGGACAATTTTTGCTGAATCTTGGGTAATTTCGACCCAGTCATTGGGTATATCAAAAATTGTGAGTGGTCACGCTGCCCGTTGCGATTGGGTGCTATAATCTTTATTACTCCCGATTACCACGGAATCTGATCGCAACGAATCACAACGTATTCCACAGGCACTATTTGACTGAGGTCAGGCAACATGGGCCTAGCCACCGGAGGCCAAGTCCCTAGAATGTAAAGTTTGTTTGTGTTGGTCTGAATGCGTTCGTTGATTGCGATCGGGAGTAATTACCACCGATTACATCGCAACCGATCGCAAGAGAGTGTAGTCTGAATAGGGTATAAGTTGTAGCAAAAATTGAAATTCAAGTTATTGGTATTTTCAGATACCTGAGTATGTGATCTTTAAAATGTGGGGTTATTCATTGAAATTGGACATTTCTAGCCTAAGTTATTGGAAAGTGAAAGCACAGCACTCTTAGAGTCAAGAAAAACACGATTTTGAGTAATTGCCTTCCAAAGTTATTTGTGCATACATTGTTTAATAGAATTAACTATCAAAATAACATTAAATAAACTATTTGTTAACCATTTGGGAACTAATACTTTGGGACATAATTAATAAAACATTAAACTGTTGATCTATAGTGAAAAACAAATTTGGAATTTTAGGCAATTTTTTAAGCTCCCATATTTTATAGCTCATTTAATCAATACTGGCCTGTGCGACAACTTAAGCATTACGCCACGACATGCTTGTTGTTGTGAATTTTTAACTTTGTATGACATTGAACTTTGACCTTTTCACCCGAAAATTAAATCGTTTCCTAAGCTCTGTCCACGCTATCAAGTTTTCCATATACAGACATAGTGTGCCTATATATGGTCATGATTTGATGTCATCTTGACCATATTTAGACATGTCTGAACATGACTTTAAGACAAATACGTATCTCTCCACTATAGTTTTTATAATGACATGTCTAAATATGGTCATGATGACATCACATTAAAACCATATATTTGCATAATCCAGCTATTCAAAGTCACGAGAAATACCAGTTAATACATAACATTATACATAAGAAGAAAATTGACAAATGTGTAGATAATGTCACCAACTTATCTAAACTCTGCTTTGACTCCAGTGACATTGTGTTTTGCAATTTACTAAGAAAAAACAAACCAGTCTTTTATGAGCTAATTAATTTAGTGATCGAATATTTATTGTGTATTATTATTGCATTATCTAATTAGATTTTAAATTAAGTTTATTTTTAGCTCTGGCTATTGTCATTCATTAATAATATAAGCAATTATAGTAGGAATTACACTTTAACGATGGAATTTTCTTTAATATTTACAAAAGGTTGCGAAATTACTTGCTTTTTATGTTGGTGGATATAAAGTTTATTTGATCATGCCAATTTTCGAAAATGAACATGATCCTACTAAATCCCAACCTCCTGATTAAATTTGTTTCATTCATATTGATGTAGATTGTGTTTGTCTTCCAGTAAATTTACTTTTCAGGTCTTCTCAAGTAGGAATAATTAATCACTTAATTTATTCAAGGAAGGGACTAAATTGTAGCTTTATGTTGGCCAGTGGCCAAAATTGCAATTTACAATTATAAGAGTATAGAATTTAAAATATTACATTAAAAAGAAATGATTATAATTATTATTATTGAAGATATTAAAAGGGATAAAAACCTGGCAAAAAAACATAAAAAAAAAAAATACAACATACGAAAAACAGCAATTTAATTCGAGAGGAGCATCTTATCATGATAACCATTTCATGTGGGTGGCCAGACATGAAATGTCACTTGGTGGGTGGTATTAAAGTCTACATAATGGTTAGTGTTAAAAAGGCCTAGCAAATTTGAAACAGTGAGAGAGAGAAAGGATGTAGATCCCACCTTGGGAGTGCCTCACCATGACTAATAATTCAGGGTTGCACGTTGGAAGAAATCCTTTTTCTTCTTGTTAAATTATCTTTCTTTAAATATTTGATGTATTTTGCTGAGCATGATGATGATACCCATCGGCACTGACAGTTGTGAGACAATCGATGTAATAAAGTAGTAAAAACACCCAAATATGAGTTTGTGAGAGATGTGTTATTATCCCAGAAATTCTTGCTTGCTTGCTGGAGTGCGGGAGGCCGTCCTTATTTTCGGGAGACTCTTGCGAGTTCCAAAAGACTTGGGACTCCTGAATAATTAGATAAGTAAAGCTGGGCACTAAGTGCGTACACCGGGGCGGTGCTAGGAATTCCCTGACAAGAGTTCCAAGCCGCCCACAAGGGGGTCTACGCCCCGCCCTCTCCCCCTCCTCCCTCCACGACGGGGAAGCCTAGCCACTGGTCGGGGAAAAAAAAATACTAGACCCCTGTCGGGGATACTAACCCCCTGTTGGAGGTACAGTACCAGCCCCGTGTCAGGGGAGAGCTGGCGCACCATGGCAACCCATACGACCGCAACACCTTACACATATGGTAAGACCGCAACACCTTACACATATGGTAGCAGTGCTCGCACTAAATATTTTTTGACAGCTTAGTAAGGCATGCTTGAATTGTACATTTGGCGCTCGAGATTTGATTTTTCACTAACGATCTTGCTTGAAATTCTCCGACGGGGTTCAAAATGGGGGTCTTTTGCCCTCTGGACCCCCTGCTAGTGCCACCCCTGTGCGTACGACTGTCGACGGCTGACACGATCCTATAGAGAAGGCAATGCCACGACGCGTGTGCAACAGATTGATTTTAATGGCGTCCGTTCAAACTGCCACCGACAATCAGCAGACGTCGCGTTGTCTAACACCACAATTAACAGAGTTTGATTCTAGCGGGCCGATGCAGTGATTGCCCGGCACAATAATTAGATCAGTTTTATAATACTCACATACGATAGTAGTCAGGCATGGAATGTATTTGAAGTGTTATATTGAGTCCTTGTAGATCTAAATGTATGCGTAGTGCACAAGCCAATCCATAGTGCTTCACTCACAGGTGGACGGTAATTTTTACAATGTTAACCCTTCAGGCACTCCTCGAAGATATAAAGTCAACTCTCTGCTCATTAAAATGTAGGATTTGAACAGTTAGATGTATAAGTATGTTCTGCGTCAATGGGTATCCAGGATGTAGTTTTTTCAATGTTTATAAAAAAAAAATAGAAACGAGGAAGTAATAATTATTATTAGAGCCGAACAGTAATTAAACTGAGAGAGCTAATGTACAGCTACTTAAATAATCATTTAAAGGTTTTAGTTCAAAGATTTACTGATTGTGTTAAAGGTACTGTAACAAAACCTGAAAAATAATACAACAATAATAATAAACCAGGTTATGTATTATAGGACTTTTTTTCAACTCGACATCATCCAAACAATTATAATGATTTTGGATGCACAATTCCACGCAATGAAGTCAAACCAAAGCTACAAGGCCTGTCCACACTATCAAATTGTATTTGTCAAGGACATGTGACATATGCCTAAATATGGTCATGATGACATCACATAATGACCATATATAGGCACATCCTGACTAAACATGGGCATAGAACAGTTTTTTGTCAAAACAAATTGGTAATGGGGACAGAGCTTAAAGTGATGTGCAGGCTATCAAATTGTATTTGACAAAAAACTGTGATATGCCTGAATATGGTCATGATGACATCACATTATAACCATATATAGGCACCTCATTTCTAAATATGGGCATACAATTGTTTTTAGATTTACTGATAGTATCTCTTTATAACAAGATTTGTTTACTTATTTGCTTTTTGTTTTTTTTAAACTGAAGCTAATTCAAAACAGCTGCTTTTAAACATCAAATTATCCACATTTATAGTTGGTTCTACTCTAATGATGTAAAACAGATAATAATAAACTTTTCCCAACTATTTTTGGAGTAATGAATTAAAATCAGGGAGTAAATTCATCGATGAGCCCATCTGTAAGTTCAAAAAGAAGTTAAAGGAGTATTTTATTGATTTTCTAGATATTAGCTAATTAGCTTTTAAGATAACAACTATTTTATAAAGAATTTGTACATTAGATGCAGTGTTTTTCTTCCTCATAAATTTGTATGAATGACGATTTCCGTTAATTTAGCATCTTAGCTCAGTCAGCTAAACTGGTGGTATACAAAAGTTAGATTTGACATCAAAATGGCTCTAGGCTATAGAATGAAGAGCAACTAGTTAAAAAAACCAGTACACCAGTTGTTGGATAAGCTCCTAACTATAACTAGCCTGGTGACTAAATATCTTGTCTTGTATCTATAACTTTAAATTTTATGGATATTCTTGGAGCCAGTAGCCAAACAATGTTTATACCACTGCTAAAAGTATTATTTAATTGTATTTGGATATTGAATTTGTTGTCAAACGATATGATAAGCACATCTCTTGATGACAGCTCTATTAATTTTACCTGGCTATTTCGTGAACACTTACCTGGATAAACTGATAAATGCCTAAGTTTCCTATGAAACCTACCTCTCGAGCATAAAAGAAAAATAATGGACTCGCCCTAGCTCTCCTATATACGCCCTGCGTGAATGAACAATATCCTCGTTATTCTGAACATTCCCTGAACAACCTCTTTATTTTGGTATTTTAAAATTGTTGGATGATTGAAAGCAATAATAATATTATAAAAATGAAATTAAATTTGCGTATATTTTAAAATATGTATAATTTTGCATTTGGGCAAGTCAAGTGACTAAATGGCCGCTCCTCGCCCAGGGTTTGGTCGGTAGGACCAAGTCTTCTCGGTGACTAAAAATGGAGGTCCATTGTACACATTTGGATATGAGTAGGGGGTTACCCCGATGTTACGGTTCATTTCAGCCCATGTCGTTGTGGAATGATGAGAACATGTAGCTACTATTATGGCCTCTTTAGGCTGCTAGGTAGTCAGACCACACCCATACGCAATTCAGCGCAATGACGCTGCAAGTTGGTTATTCTCCCTACCTACCATATATCTAAGCCACTTGAACCATCTAACAATAATTTATATCAATAATAGTAATAAATATGATGATGCCACTCTATTGTATTATTTTGTGCAAAAAGATTCAGTGCTCATATATGTGATGGAAAGAACAGATAAATAATATATGACTACTGCGATAGACTAAACTACACTTAATAATAATAATACTAATAATAAAGTTGACTTATATTACACATTAAATAACTGATGAGTTCCCAATATATTGGGAAGTAATGAAAATTTATCAACGTTAACCTTCATTATAGTGCAATGTTTTTGTTTTTCTTGACAGATGAATTTAATATTGATTGTACTAAAGATCTATACCGAAATTTGCTGTCTATATTTGAAATAGTCGTGTTGCCAACGCATGCGTGTTGCCATGTGCAGTTCTTTATGTTCTTCATTTGCAGTTTCCGTCAGGTAAGTTTATTAAATGCAAGATGGTTTGCGGGTAAGGCTCTCAGGTCACTTGGACAAGGGTCGAGGCCTAGATAAACCATCTGTGATGGTTTGACTTCATTGTGGTGAATTGCATGCATTCATAATTATATTCATTTGGATTTTGTCAGGTTCTGTTGTCTGGGTCGTAAAACTCAATTTTGAATATATAATAATAAAATGTACTAAACAATCAAAAGTGAAATAAACACGCTATTATACACATCAACTCTTTTGAAATATCTTGCGCACTATCTATACTTTCATGCAATGTCATGTCTCTATCGCACTCATGCATTCTCGCAAATCTGAACAAAACTGTATTCATAATACTTTTACAGGTCACGGCATTATGTCATATAGTGAATTAGGTTATGACCTTATGATCTTAACCTTACTAATAATGATTGGCATATGGTGTGATGCCAATGTCTTCAAATCTAGATATTTTACTTATTGATTCAGGAATGGTTATTTGATGATGAAAGAGCATCCAACAGCAGTCGCTCATAACAGGAAGCCAAATTACAATGGATATAATTATATAATTTAAATATAAATAATTAAATACTTTTAATTTTTTCAATGTCTTGACCCGAGTTTGACCTTTTTTTTTTCATTTGTGGATATGATTAAAAGATTGAGGAATATTTCAACACCTTCCTGTATAGCCTTTATTTTTATTTATGAAATATTAAAAAGACAAACCATTAATTTTTTATTATCCAATATAAATTGATCATTAGCAATTTTATGTTGTGTTTTTAGTGTACATTGAACTAAAAACTACTGTAATAGGGTGAAAGAATTAGATTGGAAAATTCAGGTTTGTAATATGTGGCGAAGAAAAGCCAAACCAGTCACTCGTCGCAAAAATCAATTTTGAGTTATTAAAACAGGGTTAAAGAATAAAATAAGAGCTATAAAATGGTAAAAAAATTATTCAAATCCGACATTTCCTTATGAAGTTACAAGCATTTAAGCATACAGCTGTTTAAAGAACAATATATGAGAAATCAGCCTTCAAAGTTTATGATTTCAGGCATTTCTCATGCAGAAACTATCATAAATCATTAAAAAGTGTTGTTTTAACATTGAAATTGGGAAAAATTACAGCACAGCATGATGTATAGATACATAAACCTTAGTTTAGTGAAATAAAATAAATTTTTAAAAATTTTACATTCTAGCATGTTTTTGCTATTTTCTCTGAAACACAATTTGCGACGAGTGACTAGTTTGGCTTGTCCTTGCCACATATAGTGATAATTTTAATTCATCTGTGGATGTTTTGAAGGAACAATCTCAAGTATGCATGCGTTTGAGCCCTGTTGCATTAAAGTGTACATTAAACTAATAAGTATTAACAGGATGTAAAAAATAGATTTGAAAATTCAGGTTTGTAATATAGTGATAATAAATTCGTCTGTTAATGGATTTTAAGGAACAATGCTTTTGGAGGCCAGCTGCATTAAACTGTACATTGAACGAATAAGTAATAATAGGATGTAAAAATTAGATAGGAAGATTTGTAATATAGTGATTTTAATTCATCTGTGGATGGTTTGAAGAAACAATCCAAGCGTGCATGTGTTGGAGTCCCTGCCATATTAAGCGGTAATAACATTTATTGATTGTGCATTTCCCTTTAAAGATCAAGTTTATGTTTCTCTTTTTTGTGTTGTACAATTATTATGAAATTTTTTTCCAGATTTAAAAAAATAGGCTTCAGATAGTTACATGAGTGTACTGCTGAAAAGGTCAAAATTACTCTAAACGTCGTCCATTATTGAGCAATGTGCTATCATACTTGTCAAATGAAATGAACTGTAATAAACCGTAACACAATTCATTTTTCAGAAAAATTACATTAACACAATCTATTTTACAACTGGCCGGAGGCACCTTTTGACCTAAATTTTATTAACGTTTTCCCCTTTCCTCCATTTACAAAAATAATTTTGAAAAATTGAGGGGTGGGCTTTGAGCGCTTGATTCAACCACTGCATCTGCTAAAATGATTGAGAATAAAATGCCTCCTAAACTTATGAATAGGCCATTTTATTGGATTTATTTTGAAACAGCGCTACCAACGTCTCGCAACTAACTGGGGACTTCCAGTGGCCTAGCCTGAGCATCTGGCTAGTTACAAATAAAGCACAGCGCAAAACCAACCAACCAAAAATGGTCTATATTGATCTTACTTTTTGCAGGGATTGTCGGATCTCTTTTTAGACTACCTTTGGAAGAAAATTGAGAACCCAAACACTTCACAAATCGTCAGGCAGGCAGCTGCATCATACGTGGCCAGCTTTTTATCCAGGGCAAAGTTTGTACCAATTGCGTGAGTAATTAAAGTTTTTTTAAACATATTTGTTTGCATCATTATCTGTGCATCATTAGCACAGATATTTTTCTAATGACACAATCAATCACAGTCATTCACAAAACATATTCAATCCTACAAATCATATTAGTTTATTACAAATAAGGATAAAAGAAAATTGAAATTGTAGGATCTGAGAGAATCTTATTAAGTTCCTGCTTCTTTGGTTTTAGCAACCACTCTGACGCTTTTTCACCGCTTGTCGGCATTGCGCTAACACCTTCGCACAGTGATCTCCATCTATCAAGTGGCTTTATTAGCGACAAGCTTTGGTGTATGACAATATATATATTTGCTAGAATTAGCAAATTGCAATCTTGATTGTCTTGTTTTTTTTTTTATAATGCAAGTGCTGTGTCTTTGTTTTAAAGCGCTGTGAGAACTGGCCTAGATGTGATGATATCATGGGTCCATCGTTACATTGACTGTCAGGATGGCAGCACAAGATCCTACGCAGACGTCAATCTTCATGGTACCTTCTATTCTGTTTGTCAGGTAAAGCTAAATCACCTATAAATTCTAAGGCATTTTAATGCCATTAAAGTTTGAAAACTTTAATAAAGCGGGGCACCGACTACGCCCGATGGTTGTCGGCCGCCTTGATTCTATGGAGAACATACAGTAATGCTACGACGCGTGCACAATGGATCATTTTTAATGACGATGCTTTCAGACTGCCACCGAGAATCAGTAGACAGAGTCGTGACGTCTTGCACTCACCGGGAGCTGAGTTGAATTCGTAGGCCAACGGCCGTACGACTGTCATACAACGTAGTGGGCTCCCTGATTTATTCATAATGTCACATTCTTCATAATTCGACATAATAAATATGAAAAGAAATGTAAAAATGTAGATTGGAAATTTTTATGTTTGCAATAAATTGTTAAATTTGCGGCTGCATTGAAGGAATTGAAATATGCATGTAGTGGAGACCAGCTGCATTAAAGGTTCTTGATAAAGGGTGTGGTTACCTTAAAAGTTTAAAGTAATTATGCAATTAAAATTTTAAAGAGTACAATAATAAATACTAACTTTTCTGCATGGAAAGCCTTAATTAAAAGTAGCAGGATGGTCAAGAGACCTGTAGCTAGAGCTTGAACTACTAAATGTAAATCAATCATTTTTTTGAGTGGAGTTTAGTGCTTAAGGTGTTTGCCTTCTAATCTCAGGCTTCTGGTGTAATTCCAAGTGTTCTTTAAATCTGTAATCTGTGGTAGCAGATTTTTTTTTTCTTAAAGTAAAATACATCTCCAAATAAAACTTGATAGAGACTTGGTTTAAGGTAGATTCACACCGAATGCGAATTCTGTTCATAGAACATTTTTAATTCGCGTCTTAGTACGCGCCTATATTCTTTACCTCTGATTTGATTTTCTTTTTTCGTTTTTTTTGTTAGCCATACGAACCAAATTCGGATTCGGTGTGAATTTACCTTTAAAACCATCGTCCATCCTTGCGTCGTACAACCATATCCAACTCTGGTCCCTGTGAGTGCTAGATGATGTAGCACCCTCTGTTGATTGTCGGTGGCAGTCTGAGCTGTTTGTCATTAAAAACCAATTCGTTGCGTGCGCGTCATGGCGTTGTGTTCTATGTAGAATTGTGTCGTGCCGACGACTGTTGGCCGCAGGAAGTACCTGGCTTTACTTGCTGTTGGGTACGAATGAAAAAAAATATATAAAAATATAAGAACGAAATTAAGGTTTATGTAATGTTGGGTCAATGCACTTTAATAACAGCATCTCGAACTAGGTGAAATTATTGATGATGAGGAGAAGGATTAATGATGAGTAATGATGATGAATGAAAGTGGTTGTAGGCAATGCATAACAAAACTAGCTCCACATTTTGTGCTTTCTACAAATATCTATAGAAGTATAGTAACAAAAAAAATGACAGAATGACAGAATCATCTATAATACCGCAAGAACATGATGAAGATGGATGAGAATAGATGAGTATTTAGCCTAATTTTAAACAAAGAAATTGATCGATTTAAAAGTTTTGATGGGAAATTTTGGAGACAACATGGCACATTCACCATATCACTGTAGCTCGTATTTTGGCTAGAAAGACTGAAAAGGAGTGATATCATTTTGGTGGAACGGCTGTTTATGTTCCACATTAGGAATTTTAATGTTTTTTTGTATTTTTTTTTTTATGATTGTGGTTTATTTTGCTTTATGTTTTAATTTTGTATTCTGTTAAGGCTAATAGGATCATTATTATTTTTCCTTTAAAATGTTTTCTTAAAATGAATCAAATATATTAAGTGCATAGGTTTTAAAAAAGTCTCATAATAATATTTATTTTATAATATTAATAATAATAATAATAATAATAATAATAATGATAATAATAATTAATATGCTGTATTTGGTTCTTTAGTATATAAACTAGACTAGACTAGATGAAATTCTACCAAGTAAATTAATAAGGTAATAATAATAATAATAGTAATAATAATAATAATAATATTAATATAATAATAATAATAATAATAATATTGAGTAAAAAAAAAATAATAGTAGTAATATCTGAATAATAATAATAATAGTAATAATAATAATATCTGAATAATAATGATAATAATAATAATAGTAATATTAAAAAATAATAATATTGAATAATAATAATAATAATAATAATAATAATAATAATAGTATCTGAATAATAATTAATAATCAATTTGCTGTGTAGTATATGAAATAATAATATATATTTGATACTATAAAATTAATATTTTTTTATAAAATTGTAAATACAGCTTTTATAGATTAGTTATTTTCTAATTATTTACTGTAGGCTTATACTTTTGATTGTATTGTATTATGCTTCTTTCATGTCTGTTTTCAATTTAGTAGGCTTATTTCTATATGTAAACTCAAGAAATTTTCAACTTTTCTTGCATTTTGAGTGTTTTATACCGAATAAATAAAAATAAGTAAATAAAATTATATCTGAATAATAATATAGTTCTCTTTTCTGCTCTTTTCTCTTTATTCCTGTTTCTTTAACACTGTTCTATTGTCTTTTAAAATCTCTATGTTGTTATAATTGCTTTTAAATTTCATTCAGTTATTTTCTTAGTTTAGTATCAAAAGGAATAAAATAGATTTAATAATCATTTTGTTTTTTGATTCTGTTCCTCCCACAGGCAATATTCTACACATTTGTTTTTCGACACAAAAACATCATTGAAAGTGAGAAGGGATTACTCTATGCAAGGAGCCTGAACTTGGAAAGAATTGTGACGTGCAGACTGAACCCACTAAAGGTCTGCCTACCAACAGTAGTCAATATGTTTGCAACAATTACCAGGTAATTAAGCTATGAATTTCTCATGGTGAGTTGGATGGCCAAGTAGTTTAAAGTCAGGGATGCCACAACCTACAGCAATAATATCAGCGCTGGTTCGAACGGCACGCTTGCCTATGGTTCTGGTAGTGGAACGAGTCTTCTCGGATAAAGATTATAAACCGTAGGCCCAGTGTACACAATTTGGCTTGTGTGCGCTTAAAAGAACATAGTTCATCTTTCGTGACGAGTAGGGGGTTACCTGGGTGTACTTTAAGAATCTTACAATTTTGTTAATAACAATTAATGTTAATAATATTAACATAATACTCATTTCATTCTGCAGAATCCACGAAATAGCATTCTGTTATACGGTTATTGAACGCAACAACAGGGCCATTATTCCAGTAGTGACACAGACCCAATGCGGAACATCAACTCAGCTGACGAATATGAACCCGCTAGATTCATTTTTTCCATTTGATCCTTACATCCTTCACATGTAAGTTATTTAATTTTTTTTTTATCAGTTCTATTGAAATAAGAAATTTAACCTGATATACTATAAGAGAACTTATACCCTTTTCACACTAAAAGAATATCTTTAAAATTTTAGTAGGTAACAACTTTGATCTTCCGAAATGTTTTCTTTGTTTTACATACACATCAATTTAAAATCTTGGGAGAATAGCAATAGGCCTTAGATATCTAATGTATCTTATTTATTCTTTTTTATTAAACTTTATTTACCGAGGGTAACCCAAAACAGCAGTTAGCTGACAATCGTGGTGCCCTTACAACAAAATACAACGCAAAGACAAAGTTAACAAATAAAAGGCCAATATACAACAATTTATTAAAATAGGCCTATTAAAATTCAATTAAACATAGTGTATTTTAAAGCATTATGTTCATTTATGTCTAAATATTTTTCTTTTGACATGAATTTTGATTAAGGTCTGCAACCTTGATAGAACCACTGTATCAACTATGGGAGGGCCAGCAGGTTGAAGACCAGCAGTCTTCTTCCGAGGTTAGTTTTTCGTATTATGTTTTACAATATAAACACATATTGAGGCCAACTCAGACAGCATTGTACAAAGCAGCTCGACATAATAGGCATGAATAGTCTTGGGTCATCATGAGATTATTAAACTTGTGATATCCTGATGTAGACTCGCCACCAACGAGAAAGTTTATTTAGAAATGGAATAAGCGACTTGTAAAAAACTGAATGCAGGTACCAGGATGCCAAAAAAATGACGTAATCTTATATTCTGCATTTGGATAAGTAGGTGGACCGGAAAAAAAATTTCAACCAATAACAATGTTCACATTTTCGGAGATACGAAACTGAGTCACTTGCATTGAGTAGTTATGTATGGCTAAAAAATAGTCCTCCCTAATAAAATGGACCTAAATTATTTAGAATAGATGCTAGTAAGACTGGTGTGGGCACTGGCAAAAACAATTAAGCTTTGGCTGGATGGAATACCATTACACACACAACATCGCTTTCTAGAAGGATGGCGCAGGCCCCTGGAGTCTAGTAGTAGTAGGCCTAGTAGAGGCTTGACTTATTTTGAAGTTCTTACTTAATATTACAGAACAACTCGACCTTTGGAATTCGCAACGCATCAAAATTACAACTCTTGCCCTGCCTGTTGGGGGATTGCTCTGCCGTCAAGAAAATCCTAGCGCTGCCACTCTGTAGAACTGTTTATTTATTATACAATATTTTCAGAAGGTAACTCTTACAGCACAAAGAGTACCTTCTGAAAATATTGTATAATAAATAAACAGTTCTACAAATAAAAGGTACATGATGTAGTATGCATCTTTAAGAATACAGTCGTTAGTGTTTTAATTATATCATCTTGATCACTACAAAGGCACAGACAAAACAGTTGGTGCCTGTTACACAAAGAAAGAAAGTACCGACAAGCTAATTTTTCCTAGTAGTGTATGTCTCTGTTAAAGCTTCTAGTGAGGGGAAAAAATTGTAAATATTCCTTTTTACTACTTTGGGAATGAGGGTCTGTGTTTAATAATAATAATAATAATAATAATAATAATAGTTGGGTTTGTAGAGCGCATCATTCGAAAAAGCCTCTATGCGCTTGGTGATTGAGCTCTTTGAGTTTGACATTTTGAAAAAAGTTTATGTTATTTTATGGAACTAAAAAACCTACTCCTTTAAGAGCATTAAGCATTTAGCAGTATGGTCATCAATAATTTTGGACTCCTGATGGTCTATTCCTACTCTTTTTCATGCTGAGAAAGAAATTGTTTTTGGTTATGAAAAGAATCCAGCTTTTTTACATGAGTTTTAAACCAACATATTTGATGCATCTTCATCACTAAGCTGCAAGCTCCAATATGGAAAATCCCTTTCATGTATAACTGTCAGAAAAAAATGTAAACGACATTCTTTTTTCTATATTTCCTCGATATTTCATCGAAAGTGATTCAATGTTTTTTTGTAATGTTACAGGATGAGGATAATAAGGAGGAGGAGTGTTACTCATTGTATGCAGATAAAGAGAGTCTGCTGCCGCTGGGCATCACACCAACCGCTGCCATGTGTGTCTCTCCAGGCTTCAGATCTGCATCATTTGGAACTTGAAGCAAATGCATGACATCGGTCAGATCACAAATCAATTATTGTGATCACATCGCAATGATTTTGATGTGTTCTATATGCACCTATTGCAGAGGAGAATGCAACAGTTGTGATTACATCACAATAATTTTGATATGAAACAATGTGTCTGGTATTCGTGTACTGTATTACAAAAGCAGATTATAACAGTTGTGGCTGCATCACAATGATTTTGATGAGGATAAAACAATTCTGTTGGGTATGCATGTATTGCTTATAGCAGAATGTAACAATTGTGATCGCATCACAATGATTTTTATCAGGATGAAACAGTTTTTGATAAAGATAAATTAATTGTGTTTGGGACACACATATGGCAGAGGAGAATGCAACAATTGTAACTGCATCACAATTATTGAGATCATGATAAAAATAATTGTGCTTGTGATACGCATATGGCAAAGGAGAATGCAGTGTAATTGTGATCGCATCACAATGATTTTATCCGGATAAAAATGTTATGCTTATAATGCAACAGATCACATCAGGATAAAACAATTAGTTCGGTGTGCATACATTTCAGAGCAGAAGCCAAAGATTGTGATTGCATAACAATGATTTTGATCATAATGATTTTGATCACAATAAATAATTGTGTTTGGTACAGGTATATGCATATGGCAATTGTGATCGTATCACAATTATTTTGATCATGATAAAGAAATTGTGTTTGGGATACACATGGGAGAGCAGCATGCCACAATTGCCATGCAATGATTGTGAATAATTATAATAATAATAATAATAATAATAATAATGATAATAATAATAATGTAGATTTGCTTAGCGCCGGTATCCATCAAACTAGATGCTCATGGTACTTGATATGTGGGCTAGGACTAGTTGTTACACTTTTCAATAACTTTCTCCCTCTAAGGGTCACTTCATGTCCTCAGCAGCTGGTAAACCAGCACACTTTCATATGTCCACGACAAGGGGCCGAGTGGACCAATACACCGAGGTAACCCCCTCTACTTGTCTTGAAATGCACATGAACATTCGGGTACACAGGCCTACCGTTTATAGTCATTATTCGAGAATACCTGCTCCACCACCAGAACTATATAAGAGCGACCCGGCTGCAAACCCGTCCCGATATTGTTGGCTATAGGCTACAATGCCCCTGTCTTAACCTGCCATTTGACTTGTTGAAGATGCATTGATTGTGGCGAGAATACAACTATTGCAGTTTTGAAATTAGTTCAAGTGATGAAGGTAAAGCTGTCAGTCAGAGTGTCTGAAATATTTTGGTGTGTACAGGCTCTGCTTACAGCCCATGGGTACTACCGTTAAAGCCCCTTTTTATTAAAATTTAAAAAATGTTTTAAGTGGTTCGGAAATGTTTTAGAATGTATTATGCTCAAAGAATTATAAAAGAAGTTTTTCTTTTTTAGTACGATGAATTGTGGCTAACAGGGGCTTGGCCTGTCCAAATGAAAATCTGGGTGCATCAATTTTGCTTATGTTGCATAAGATAGTGAAGTGAATAGTTGGTAATAATATTTTATTTAATAGTACAACTCAAGATGAAAGAGACATGGTGGATATCTATTGTTTACATCTCCTTTTAAATCTTAAAAAAGAGGTAACAGTTGTACTGTCAAAACATGAAGTAACATTTCTGCTCACAAGATTATGATTCTAAAATTCTAAGCAAAATACTTGATAGTTTGAAGAAAAATATTTTTTTATTTTTGGGTGTATAAAATTATCCAATACCATTTTAATAAAATAAGTATTAAATTTCTTTCCAACAGCAAGCAGAGTAGATGCCAATTATAAGATAGAATTAACTCTGTGGTGATCTATGATGTCTCTATTATAAGCCTATAGCAGCGGTGGGCATAAAACTTGGTCGGATGGCCAAAGTGAATTTTTGATGTACACTAATGGCTTATACAAACTTAGATGTTTCCAGTGTGCTTCCAAATACCTTAATATGGACTTTTATGCTCGGATTTAATCTTCCTTTTTAAAGATAATCAGTGTTGGGCCATAATAGACATGGGGATTTGAGCCAGATTTTTGGTGGGCTGCACATATAGGGTTTTAAAATTGTTTTCGCAGACGCAACAAAATCATCATGGGGATGTTACGTTGCCTGCGGGCCACATTTAATCCACTTGTGGCCTAGAGAGAAAGTGGATTTTTTGTTGTTATGTTTACAAGATTTTAATTTTGTAAAGATTGGTATAAGGAAATTTTTTATTTTATTTTCCTAATCAATGTAGAATTTTTTTCAAATTTCTGAAATAATAATAATAAAAAAATATGCTTGTTTAAAGGTAGTTGCCAAGCTGACTGTTATGCCGGCATAGTAAATTAAAATGTATTTATTTGTCATTAATTCTTTTATTTATTTACTCATTCAGTGATGATTCTAGCATGTTTCTCACAGCAAGCTGAATCTTGTCCTCATAAATGAGACTTGCATTCCTAAATTCAGCATCAGTGACAAAAAATGAAAATTTACTTTTTAATGTATTCTTCCTTTATACATTGTAGGCTTTAAAATGATGGGTCATTTACTGAAATTGACTTAATATATTTGCCAATTTTATGAGTGAAAAAAATTACCATGGTTTTTCTGTACTAAAATATACAATACTGCCTGCTAATTACTCGGTATGCTGGTTTTGAAATGGCAAGCCTCAAATATACAGCAAATGGTATATGAATTAGGCATCAATGTGATGGGTGCATATAGGTAAACCGATGAAGTACCAAGTTGATGTATAACAAAATGTGTGGCCCCAATGGCCCCCTTAGGCCTGCAGGGAGCCTGGTGCTTGGCCCCATGAGAGCCTAGGGGGGTTATTCCACGCTGCTGTTTCTGTATACCATTTCATAGTTACCATTGTTAGCACTGCTACAGTATTTGGATGATGAATAAAATCATTCACTCACTATATAAAAGATTCTAAATTATTATTTCATTCATATATTGTATATTGTGACACAGTGAAGCAGAAAAAACACCATAATTAGTGTCCACATTTCTTCTGATAAGTAAAGTATTTTGATACATCACTTTTATAGTTTGACATTGTGCAAACATTTAGGAATGGATCCCAAAAGACATTACAAATTTTGATTGCACAATATGAACAAGTAGATAAATAATGATAACATTGCTCAAAAATTGTATCAAGCAAAATGAAATGAAATGAGACAAAATGTTGCTGTTTTCAGTTGTATAAACATTTTGTTGAAGTGCTATGCTTGATATGATTATAACATCATATCATTATTATTTATCTGTTTGTTGGAAACAATGGCTGGATCTCGGTAGAGATACAAATTTGATATGCAACAGTTAAAATGTAAGTAATCAACAGGAAGTACTGTAAAACCAATGCTTTTGGACAACACTACTCCTTAATCAGTGGCGAGTGAGTTAGGGTCCAGATAGTATAGTGAAAAGTCCGGAAAGAATGGATAGGCTACATATTTCACTGATGAACTAATTTGCTATACAAATAACACACTTTTTTTACAATGGGTCTTCAATTACATCCAGCGTCTTGCTGGCTCTGTGCTGACCTGATGATGCATGACCAGGAAATAGTTCCTGGTATGACTATAAAGTCATGTTCCTAATTCAATTCCAATTCAAAGCATATACCTCTTTACCATGTGTCTGTTCCAGTCAGCAACTGCTATAATATTTATCATTATCAACTATTTAAATATTTGTATCCTCAATTAGTTTATTACATTTTATAGGGTTAATTAGGTTCATGTTTGATTATCGGTAATCAGGCAATATGACCTTAACCATGGAGAAAATAAAATAGAAGGAGTAACAGCAACTAAAGATCAAAGGTACAAACCTCCCCGCCGACAGCATCTGTTATCTCGTTAATGAAATAATTATCAGTATATTACGCAACACCTATTAGCTGCAAGTCGTGAAATACCGAGAATATCGCATGCGCAATAGAAGCAGACCGTGTTGAGTGACGTCAGGCATTTGACCCTTGGCTTCTTTCCTTTCTTGTAATAGCAGCGACCCGCGAACGACCACGAAGTCTAGATAACAATAATATATAATTTCCCTAACTGTTTTTAAATGCTAGAACATGGATTTATATGAATTAGAAGACGATTTGGATTACAAAATTCTAGAAGAATTGAGTGTAGTGGATGAAGCAGCAGAGGACCAAGAAAATGGTACTTATTTTTTTTTCTTACGTTGACGGGAAGTGTGTGGGGTGTCAAGCTGGATCATAAAGTGATCGCGGCGACGGTGTAGGCCTAGGCCTTGGCTTTTAGGCCAGGCCCAGGCCTAGCTTTGTCGATGGTGATGTTCACATACTTTGTAGGCTAGCTATTATTAATCCTTACAAATATCAACCAATACACAACTAATCAATTACTTTTTAATATTTCCCAAATCAAACCTAGGTCTAGGCTAGCCCAAATACATTATTAGGCTTAGCCAAGCTCTGGGCTAGGCCTAGGTAAATAATTTTAAACATCGTAGGCCTAAAAACAATTTGCGACGGCGTACAGCCGTTTCTAGGCCAAGCTTTGTCGACGGCGACGATCACATGATTTTGTGGGCTAGTTGTTATGCCATAAATATATCAGCAAATGTCGATTTCACACACAGAAATAAATACATTATTTTTTTGATTAACCCTATCCTCTAATTTAGAGTCTGAATAACCCATGGTATTAATTGTTTACAAAATCCTATTACTTTTTACATTATTTAAGGTGTTGTTGTAGCAGATATACAGCAAGATGCAACAAAGGATGTGACTGCCAATGACAAAGATTCAAGGAAAAAGAAAATGACTAACAAATCTCGGACCAAAAAAATAAGTAAGTAAAGTATTGTTTTTGTAAATTGTACACATAATGCGTTTATTATCTACACATAAAATGTTCATGGAAATCATTTGATATATTATTTTAAAGAAGTATAGCTTAGTTTCCTCCATGGTGTATCAGTTAAAATTGTGAAGTCAAATGGATAAGAAATCTAAAACCTTTACGTATATAAATTTTTTTTTATAACACAGATAAAATTCCTCCATGACAATAGCTGCATCATGTTTTTTTCAGCTTGTCCGTCTGTTTTGTGTTTTTATTGTGATAGACCATGGATAAGACAGTGATTACAATATTTAAATGGAAATTGTTTTTACTGTTTTGTGTTTTTATTGTGATAGACCATGAATAAAACATAGTGATTACAATATTTAAATGGTTTTATTGTGATAGACCATGGATAAGACAGTGATTACAATATTTAAATGGAAATTGTTTTTACTGTTTTGTGTTTTTATTGTGATAGACCATGAATAAAACATAGTGATTACAATATTTAAATGGAAATTGTTTTTACTTTTAGGTATAGATCGTCCAGCAGGAAAGTTCACGGAGGACAACATGTTGATGAAGGTAAAGGACTATGTCACATCTGCTTTCAAGTTATTGGTAGAGGACCCTGTCTACAACAATAAGCGGTATCCAATAGCAAAGCGTGTTATGTCATTGGTGAAGGAACTCGAGAAATGTTCAGAATCCGAAATTTATCAGAATTTCTGGGTGAATTGTGCTAAAATGATATGGCAAGTGATAATGGCTGGAAATGCGAAGAAATTGAAACCAGGGGCCGATGAGAAAATGTGTCAGGCATTTCATCAATATACCATTGCAAGTGTAGGTAGATGGGTCAGTCTGCTGGTTGAGTTGGAAATTGATGCAAAGGGCCACCATGTTAAGAGCATGAACCAATTTTTGCAAAGAACATTGTTAAGGTTAATTCTAGCTGACAAAAACAAGGTTGATGTTCCTGAATATAATGTGAAAGAATGTCCTGAGCTTGATAAGCACACGGAACAAGTTATAAGATATGTTTCTGGATATATACCGTACGTGTTAGTTAAACGATTCAAAAAGGGAAAAAGCCAAACAGCCAAGGTCTACTGTGAAGTGCTTTCACAATGGCAAGTTAAGAGCGATAGCGCAACACATACTTTCCTCAGTTACTCGAGGGAGTGGATCGATCGTCAAAATAGATCAGGATTATTCACAGTCAATGATGATGTGTTTCTATTTTTTCGAAATGTCGAATTTGAGACAAGGAAACATTTGACTGTAAATCAGCTTAGCTCAATGAGTGAAATCGATTATCTGGATGTGATGTTTCAGAAAGTTGTTGAAAATAAAATTATACAAACATACTGGTGTAAACTCACAAGAGAGAGTCTTGGTGATAATGCCTCAAAACAACTACTTGACATAATCATAAAGTATTGGATAAAAATAAGGGCTAATGCATCTGTCTCTTATACACATCTAGATGTGTATAAGAGACAGGCTTGACTCTGGTCCTGTACTCAATGGGCTATGGGATATTTACTGAATTACGATCTCTTAACATATTATCATTATT